TCCGTCTATCTTTCTGTCTGTCTGTTGTAATCATGCTAACTTACGAACCAAAATATTGCATACATGTGTATTTTGTCAGTTCGAGGTTAAGTTCATAAGGAGTTCATGTTGGTCCACATTTTTCTACCACACCGTATTCGGTATTCAGTTGTGATTTTGTACAGAAAAAACACATGCAGGGTGGGATGAAAAAGCTACAACCAACTTCAGACTGCTGTCATTTCTAAGCCACGCGTCTGATAGCTGTTTAAAATATTTCAGTCACAGCTTATTATATTGTTTCCAGCGTTCAAAATCATTTTGGTGAGAATTTTCCAGAAAAATGTTATTCGTGATGGAATTCAGAGTGATAGTGTGATTTCTTTATATTTGGCTGGAAAACCACATGTGGCTATCGTTAGAGCACTCCAGCATTTAAATGAGAGTAAATCTTTTGTGTCTCGTATCATCGCTCGTTACCGTGATACTGGTAGAGTAGCCCGACGTAAAGGAAGTGGACGGAAAAAACAGCAACATCAGCAGAAATGGTTCGAAAAGTAAAGAAGCGACTTTATCGAAACCCGCGTCGCAGTGGCCGAATAATGGCTCGTGAGCTGAACATATCGGAATATTCCAAATATTAAAAAATTAGCTCGGGGTAAAGCCATTGAAATTCCAAAAAGTGCAAGAACTTACACCGCTAAAAAAGAAAAAAGCCTCAAAAGAACTAAAGAGTTGCTTTGCTTGGCCGAAAGTGGTGAACTGCCGAATTTGGTTTTCTCCGATGAGAAAACATTCGTTGCCCAGCAGTTTGTAAACAAACAAAATTATCGTGTTTACCTGCCAAAGAGGTCAGCTGAAAATGTGCACCTTCGGTTGGCCACCAGAACTCAAGCGCCAGCCATGGTGATGGTATGGGCCGCGATAACAGTCGATGGTTGCCGAATATATTTACCTCATGGTATTAAAGGTTCGACCGGCTGAATTGAACGCGTTTTACCTGTTAGGATTGAAAGTTATATAATTGTAATTCCATCCACCGTGAGACATATATAGCTTAACATATAAATGTCCGTCCGCCACAATTTTGAACAATGATAGCCCTCTTAAAATATAATATTAGTGTCCGATACTTTCCAAAGCTAACAAATCCAATATTTTTGCCTATATCAGAGCAAGTGTGACAATGGGATATATAAGTCTTCTCTTGTTAAAATTTATAAATATTTTTCATATAAGCTCACACTTGGTATATGCGAATGTGAATAATGTTGGACTACACCTTCCGAAACCTCAATATTTTTAACATTTTGAAATATTAAAGCTGGCGGAAAATCAATATCCGAATTCCTTAATATTTTGTAAATCCCAATTTTGTGTAATATATTGAATAACCTTCATATACAAACATAATGATGACACTATAGTACCTTCTGTTCAATTATCGAGTTTTAAGGGGAAACAGATTCCTCCACAAATCTGAGTCATTCCTTCATTTTACTCTAACGGAAGTATCAAATAGTTGAGAAACCCCAAAAAAATCATCATGACCAACGGAAGATGTAGTATTTCTTAGGTTTTCTTATCTATCTATCTATCTTCCCCCATGTGTGTGTGTATATGACGTCATGGTAATTTCATGGTCAGACATCTTCATTTGCATAATGGAATTCCATTTCATTCATGTTGCCCACCGAACCGCCGCACAACGGTTATAAAGTATCTCATAAATTTCCATTCTCAATACTTGAATGGGATAGCTTCTGTTTGGCTCGGCGTGTGTGCGCTGCCCCCTGTCTGTTTAAACAAAACATCCAAAACAATAGTCCGATTAAGTCTCTGTCCGAAATGATACTGTAAATCTTCGATAGTATTTAATATCTTTATTTATGACTGCGGTATTGGGGGATCGAACAAAAGATCTTTCATGATCACCGACCTGCGGACTGCATCGATGACAATGGCAACGCTGATAATGAAGGAGCCGAAACACACACATGCACAGCGGCCAAGTGATCGAACAAGATCAATGACCATCCCCCCGCCTAAACAAAAACATCAAACAACAACAATAACACAAGAAGTGGAGACAAGAAGATTTCGTAGATGTCGTAGCTGTCTATCATCAGCTAGGGACCCGGTCGGAACAACCGTTCATTACGACAGCTGAATATCAGCATTTAAGCCTAAATAATTACATTTTGCCCTCAAATTATCGGTAATTATGACATGAACACTGTAATTCTGCGCCAAGTAGTCGGTGCGGGGCACATCACGCAGCCACACAATACATCATACCGGGGCAATTAAATTCCCATGGGCGGGCGGGTTGACAATACGTGGACATCGCCAGCGGAATGTGGTTACACAAATTGTCAACCATCGAATGACAGAGATTGTGAAAGAGATTCATGCCATTCCATAGTTCAAATACCTTGAAACGAGAACACCGTTTTTCGCTCTGAGTTGTTGCCTTGTTTTCTACAACAAAAACGAACAGGAAAAAGCGGAAGACTCGTTCAATGGCTGGGCCTTGTTATCGTTTTCCCGGTGCTGAAGATGGCACTAATGCTGCCTAGTATGGCTATGCGAGGTGGTTTCACTTTTACACAATTGCTGTTGGCCAAATTGCCATGGCTTGGCATGGCAGTGGTAAGAAAGAGCCGAGCAAAAGTTCATAATTGGGGCGATTGACGTTGGCCACACAGAGGTGCTGCACTGATGCTGCCGCTGCCATTTTCTACCGGTTGCATCCACAAGAATTATGAGAAAAATTGCAAGTGACGGCTGCCGGCTTGAATGAAACCAGCCAACTGGTTTGAACAGCACAGAAAAAAAAGAAGAAGAGGAAGCAGAAGTCCATAACTACATGGGGCACTAATTTTACATCAGCCATTATTGTGACATTGGTGAAGGGTTTTTTCAGTTTTTTTTTTTTTTTTTTTTTTTTTTTTTTTTGCCATGTGGAGACCTTTTCTGTTCGTCCAGCTAGTATGATTTTAGAAAACGTTTACTTTTATATCGTTTTATAGGTACACATTCGTATCACATGCGTGTACATTCCTATGTGCGTACATATGTATGTAGGACATACGCATAAGGCTGGGGCTATCCATAAATATTGGGTCAGTAGCATTTAGCCAATGAACGAATCATTTAAATTCCAACTATGCAATGGAACGGACTGCCAACTCGTAAAGTGTCTTTTGTATTGCACAAAGCTATTGCAAAAATTCGTATATATATATGTTTTATAACTATACTGTAATAACAGTATAGTGGACTTTGTGAAAGAAGTTCGCACATTTTGGACATGTCTGAAACTCAGGGTGTTTGGAGAGTAAAATAAAAATAATCTTCCTTTTTTTTTTGAAGAATTGGCATTCATATGCTTTAGTTCTACAGAAATGATTATTGAATTCATTATTTTGATATGGAACCAATTACGGTTAAAATAATGGCGAATAGTGTAACTATTTTTATAGGGTAAATAGAACATGGTATACAGGGTGAGACTAAAAAACTGGAACCGATTCAAGCGCCACAATTTTTACATTTTTTGAGTGAATTGAAATGAAAATTTTATTGAATGAAAGAAAAAAATGTCGGTAATAGCATAGAATTATACAATAAGATTAGATTTATTCGAATTATGGCCTTCAAACGGACAATGAAACCGTCCCACGCTGCCCGAATGTTGCTCTGCGGTATTTTGGTCCATTCCCGGCGAAGCACTTGCTTGAGATGATCGACACTTTGGTATTTCTAAGTGCCAATCTTGTTTGCCAAAATACTCTAAACACAATAGTACAACGGATTGGTATCCGAAGTTTTTGGTGGCCATTGTGAGCTGGAAATGAACGAGGAACCTCATTTTGTAGCTATTCTTGGGTGGCGCGAGTTACAGAAACAACATCAACAACAACAACATTAACACAAGCACCTACAAAGCCACCAAGGTTAAATCAAGCAAATAAATAATAAAAATTATTAAGAATTGCTAATAAGTCAATAACCGTATGAATTGCTACATATAAAATTAGTAAGAATTTTAAATAGTTCAACAGACCGAAAAAGAACTGTAAAATAAAGAATTGTTCAATAAAAGAATTGTTAAATAAGCATATATTTAAATTTCAAAGAATTGTAAACAGGCCACCAGCTATAGAATTACTAATAATTTTATAAATTGTCAAAATGCAGTTATTGCAATTTTCACTTTAAATAAGTTATAATCGTAACTTTCATTTTAATTATTGTTTTCAATAAAGAGGAGTAATTTTTGAGCAACCAACGAATAAACTTGTGTTTTTTTTAATACTCGGATTACTACAAGAATTAACTGGCGCAGTCGGGTAGTTCTGGTTCCTGCGCTACAAAAAAAAAAAAAAAAAAAAAAATTAAATAAGTGTTGTGACGGTTTATCGCAAACGAAAAAAAAAGCGCACGGAATTACATAGAAGACGAAGGATAATCGTCTGAAAAGAACAGAACAGAACCAGCATCCGTGACGGATCATCACGAGGAAAAGCAGAACCAACAAGAGAGGACATCTGTACGGACATCTGCCAAGGAAAACTACTTTAAGGACAACCGATTCCAGTCAACGTTACCAACAATAATGTCAATAAGAACTATAATTTTAATATTGTAAGTGAAAATTTCTATTATTACCAGATTTATTGTGGAAAAGTGCTAGAAACAAGCAATACTATTAAATATTTTACTAAAAGATAAAATAGAAACATATTTTAAAGATTCAAGATTCAGTTTAAAGACTAATAAAAGTAAAAGTGAAAACTTATATTGTGAACAAATATAAAACAATTTAACCGTGTTTTTCAAAGAAAAGAAAAAATAGATAATATTTTAAATAATTTACCTATTAAATATTATTTAAGTGAATATATTTAAATATAAACATATATATTTCGATATTATAAAATAATTTTGCTTTCTAAAGAAAATAATTGATTGAATTAAAGAGAAAAAATAAGCATATGCGTAAATTTCGTCCTTATACACTGAGGGAAAAATCCCGTTGCGAAATCAAGCACGTATGTTGTCATTTTCGCAACGACCCGTTGTTATATTTTTCAACAACGGCTGTTGGTGAATTGTGCACGAACGTGCTCAAATTGACACCGAGACGTGGTCAACTTTCGGTACCAACAACAGCCGTGCTTAATTTGTCCATTTGTAATATTGGTAATTGCAGCCGATTACACACGAGTAAAAAATGACAACGGTGGTGCATGATTCACACACGGTCGTTGTCAATATGACACCGGTCGTGTATGAATTATGCACCACCACCTGCATAATGATGCACCACCGTTGTTACTTTGTACACCGACGTGCATGAATCGTACACGATCGTTGCCATTTTAGCAACTACCGTGTATGAATCATGCACCACCGTTGTCATTTTTTTTACTCGTGTGCAATCGGCTGCATATTTACCATTTTTTCCGTGTTATTGAAAGAGAAAGGACGCATTGTGCAAAAAATTTATTGAAAATGAATAATAATTCGCAAGATCCTCAAAATATCATTGGTGAGTTGTTAGAAATCGATGGCAATATTGTTGTGGTTCGCGATACAAACCATTGCAGCAGTCAAGATGCGGAAAACAATGAGGACGATTATATGTTAAGGGAGTTCTTAAAAGGAATAAATATGGAGTCGCTTTTTGAACAATTAAAAGGTAAGTAAATAAAAATGAATTTTTCAGTTAATCAGTGTAATTAACAAAGAATTTTCTTTTTTGTTCTTTTAGCATCACATGTAACATTTCGCAGCTTGCAGTACTTGAAAAAAGAAGATTTAAAGGAAGCAGTGCCACCATTGGGACTGCGTGTTGAATTCAGAGAAAAGCTCTTTGCTTGGAAAAAACGAAAGGTACGTATTATTTGTTTTACAGAGTTGAACTCAGTATTAATATTGTCATAACAATAGCTCGGGATTGATGACGAAACTATGTCAGTTCCATCTAAAATAGGTGAATGGTGGAAACGCAACGAGACACCTGCAAGTACTCCTGGTACTCCCGACACTACAGGTTCGAACTGCTCAAAAGCCAAAGGAATTTTGTCAGAGGTAAGGTAAGAGTAATATTTGTGTAAGCATAGTTAATGTAGTTTTTTTATTTAATATAGGATCTAACGGAATTGTTAACACATACCTCGAAGGGGAAACTAGCGCTTGAATGTAGTAGCGTTAATAAGAAATTAAGTGACGAGCAAAGAGATGATATAATTAATATAATTATTGAAGATATTTTAACCAACAATGTTACTCTTTACACTCAAGACTATATGCGCATATTGGATGAAATTTGTTCCGTTTTTCCTCTTGAAAACGAAATGAGGGTAAGATTAACAATATAAACAACGTATCTGATTATGTAGTTTCTTAACTTATAATATGTCTTTATTTTTAGGATTATTATTACATTTCAAGAAAAGGAAAGAACAACGCAAGCGGAAAACTTTATGCCAAGTATAGAAACAAGAAGTCCAAAAGAATAAAGCTTTTGATTTCCGAGCCTAGCACAAGCAAAGCAGCAACTCACACATCTCCTAATTTTTGTAACAAAGATGTTCCCGAAATTGATGAATCAGTTGAAAATTCATTGAAAGCTTCCTTACTAAGAGAATGTAATGATTGGGGATCGATCTGCGAAAAATGGAAAAGATCTTTTAACATACGGCAAAGAGATATAAAAAATTTAAGTAGCCATACATTTCTCCTTGAATGGACGAAGTTGTCCGATGCAAGAGCTTCAGAATTGGTAAGTAGCCATGAGCTATTTATTTGTATATGGATACTAATGTTTCGTTTTAGGTCAACATTGATTTCGATATTATGTATCCACAGAAAGGCAATCTTCTACTTTCTAAATGGGACCAATTTAAGAAAAAAATTTACAATTATTATGGGAAAAATATTCATAACGAACATTGCAAACAACTCTTCGCAAATGTTTTGACGGCAAGCAGCATAGGTAAATTTTAATTCCTGATTTATCATAAACATTAAAAGTAATATTTATTTTATATTTCGGTTGCAGATGCTCAAGATTATATATACGCAATACTGTTGAATTCAGTTTTACCATCACCTGCTAGGTTTAAATGTGGAAACGGTAAATTACGAAAAAAAGTAACAATAGCTGATTCGCAGGAAAGTTTCGTACTGCGACTACCGACAATTAACGATTATAAAAGGCAAATTGATACAGTCACTGAAAAGTATTACAATGCTGGATTAACTATACAGCCATTTATAATTGTGGAGGGTTTGTCCGATTTCAATATAAAAGGTTTTTATGTTTTTTTTAACCACAATTTGTTAAAATTTCAATCGTTCCTCGAATGTTTAGATACATGTTATAAAATTTTTCATGCACTTTCTTTAAAATATCCAAATGCCTGCCAAATTCCATGGATTTTTATCCAAAAATATTTTTATGAAATTAATACTGTATATGATATAAAATCAGTTAATTTGACTTCACTTATTAATTTCTGCAACAATAATTAAAGTACAATTCAAAATGTATATTTGCTTTCGTTGCCGTAAGCATTTTGATAAGGCAAATCTTTTAATAGCTCATTTGAAAACAGACCATTTAATGTCCACTAAATTTTTAAAAGTACAATGCGTTCAGGACAACTGTAAGCAAACATTTACAAAATTTACGTCATTCAGAATTCATTTAGAAAAACTTCACAAGAATCACACAAAAGCTCCACCAATGGTTAAAGCCATTAATGTGCCAGTTGAAATGTCATCATCAAAAGAAAATGATTATACAAACAGTGAAACTGTTATTAACAACAATACAATAGAAAAGGATTTAAATGTTTTGAAAAAGAAAACCTTATATCTGTCTTTACAATTACATGGTCAAAGCTATATGCCTAGAAATCATGTTATAGAAATACAACATTCTGTTTCAATTCTGCTTTCATCCATTTCATGTACAATTGAAAAATATATAACTGATCATCCAAATTATGAAGACTTAAGGTACTTACTAAACTTTTGTAAAAATCCTTTCGAAGAAACTAGAACGGAATATAGACTTTTAAAAATTTTAAAAGAACTAAACTTTTATGATGATCCAAAGGTTTATGTAATTAGCAATCAAGTCTCGGAAATTGTTATCAGCGGAAATCCCAGTTTAGGTCCAAAGTTATCCAATATTTATATAATGCCACTGAAATTCATGATAAGTGCCCTTTTTAAAATTCCAAATCTCTTAGATTTGACATTAGAAAACTCCAAAAAATTCCTAAATTCACCTGTTTTACAAAATTTTACAAACGGTGAGTTATATAAAACTAAATTATTAAAATATCAGTACAATTTAGTTATTCCCTATGTCCTTTACATGGATGATTTTCAAATTAATAATCCTCTTGGAACCCATACATTTTCCATATGTGGTTGTTATATTAGCTTTCCTTCAATGCCACAGCACTTGTTGTCAAAACTTGATTATATATTAACTGCTGCGTTTATACCATCAAAGGATTTAAAAGAACGTGGAAATGAAGTTTCATTTCACAATCTTGTAGAAGAGTTAAAAATTCTAGAAGAAGGGGTTGAAATTTGTGTTCAACAAAGTGTTCAGAAGGTGCATTTTATTTTAGGTGTAATTATTGGAGATAATTTAGCAGTTAATAGTATTTTAGGCTACGTGCAATCATTTAACTCTAAAAGATTTTGCCGGGTATGTAGAAGAAAAAAGTCCCAAATGCAATTCGACGCAATTCAGCATTTAGATAGTTTAAGAAACCAAGAGAATTACAACTCAAATGTATTGGAAAATAATTTTCAAGAAACAGGTATTAAAAACAAGTGTATCTTCGAATCTTTACCAAATTTTAACGTCACTGAAAATTTTTGTTTTGATATTATGCATGACATTTTCGAGGGCATATGTGTCTACGATATGTCTAATGTAATTCTCGGGCTGATTCAAGAAAATATTGTTACGTTAGATTGTATTAACAGCAGAAAATCTTTATTCCAATTTGGAGAAATTGAAGTGGGAAATAAATCTGGACCACTAGATTTATGTAGATTGAAAAACTATAACTTAAAAATGACAGCTAGTGAAACTATGTGTTTTACTAATTTTTTACCTTTAATGGTAGGCGATTTAATTCCTTTCTCCAACGATCACTGGAAAGTTTTTATAATATTATTACAAATAATCGATTTACTTTTAAGACCAAGTTATATAGAAGACGATTTAATAAAATTGGAAGAATTAATTAGAGATCACCATTCACTTTATATAACATTATACGGTTCGTTAAAACCGAAACACCACTTTCTTGTCCACTATCCCACAGCTATCCGAAAATGTGGTCCCCTTAAATATCTCTGGAGCATGAGATTCGAAGCTAAACACAAGGAAGCAAAAGCCTATTTAGGAAATACTACATCAAGAGTAAATCCCTGTCGTTCATTATCTATTAAGTCTGGATTGAAATTTTCCAATTTTTTATTAAAACACGAAGATAACTTAGAACCAAATGTTATCATTAATACGCATACCATCGAAGATTTGGCAAAAGAGGAATATTGTTACAAAAAAAGTAAGCCAGTTTTAAATTACCAAAATTGCAAAGTGTCTGATGACATTTTTTTTAAGGGAACTAGGTATAAAAAAAACTATTATTTAGCAACAAATAATGCCGCAATTGAACTTTTCAAAATTAAACATTTAATAATTGAAAATGAAAATGTTTACATTTTATGTAACCAAGTAAAAGTTAAAAACTTTGATTACCATTTACAATCGTATGAAGTTGGTTCTCTGAATGAGGATACAATTTTTTTAATACCAATTTTAGATTTTATTACTTACCCATTTCACTTATATCCTATGAATAATGGAAAAGTTTATTTCAGATTTAAGTTAATTTAATTTGTTTCTATACATTGAATATATGTAATTCGAATTGTTTTGTTAAATCAAATATGTATTTATATTGAATTTATGTAATTGGTTTCGTTCAATAAAATACTTTTCAAAAAATGTCGTTTCTTCTACTAAGGGTATAAAATGGAAAAGGAACGGATATCAAAAAATGACCACCATTGATTTCAATCTGACAACGGGCGTTGACAATCCGACAACGGAGCGTTGACAATCTGACAACGAAGCGTTGACGATCTGACAACGAAGCGTTGACAATCTGACAACGGGGCGTGCTCGAAATGACCACGTATGTGCTCATTTCATGCACATCTGTTGTTGAAATCGTTGCCAAAATCTCGGTGTCAAAATGACAACAGCGTGCTCATTTTGACACCAAACGTGGTTGATACACTATCATACACGGATGTGGTCATTTCATACACGGATGTTGTCATTTTTTCTCTGGGTGTACTATCCCAAGAACCCTTATTCCTATCCCAGAATCTGAAACCGATATGAGTATCAGTCAAAATAATCAAAGTGGTGTAATGAATTCTACGAACAGTTCACCCTCGACAGAAAGAAATATACTGGATTCCTTAAGAATCCCAGATGCTGTCAAGGATCTTCCAAAATTTGATGGAAATCCGAGATTGCTATACGATTTCATAAGCAATGTGGAGGAAATACTTACAGTATTAACACCCATTGATGGCACCCCTCTTGGCAAGATGATTTTAAGGTCTATACGTAACAAAATTGAAGGAGAAGCAAATGAGATTTTGAATATGTATAGCACAGACTTGAGCTGGCAGAGCATTAAAAATAATCTCATATTACATTACTCTGATAAACGAAATGAAACTTCATTGATTCGAGACTTACACCTACTAAAACAAAATAATAAGACACTTGAGGAATTTTATAGTTCAGTTGTAGAGATCCAAGCTTCAATTAACAATAATCTGATGATACACGAGGTAGATGCCAACATAATAAAAGCTAAACGAGATTTATTTGATAAAATGTGCCTTAACACATTTTTATCTGGACTTAGAGAACCATTAGGCTCTTCCATTAGGGCTATGAAGCCAGATACTTTACCGATAGCTTTTTCATACTGTATTACCGAACAAAACATGTTTTATATAAGACAAGAAAACAGGAACATTTTGAAAAGGCAAGAAACTCATAGACAGTACAATTCACAACATTCTTACCCTAACATTAAAAAACCATTCACTCCAAATCATTATAGACAACAAAACGCGATTTATAGTCCACCTATGCATTTCAATAGACCACAATTACCAATGAATCAACCATTTAATAGACCCCAATTAAATTTACCAACACCAATTAATAGACCTCAGTTAGCACAGAGTTTTTTACCAACACCTATGCAAACACAATACCCTACAGCCACAAACAATCAAAACCAATTTAGCAATTTTAGACAACAACGTTTAGACAGTAACACAAATCTTCCACCACCAGAACCCATGGACACTAGTTCAGGCTATACTCATCTAAGGAATAATAGTGGACAAACACGTAGATTTCCAAGAGAAGTACATCATATTGACCATAACTATAGGAACTTTAATACCTATTCAGATCCTGTAAACTATAACATTCCTAATTATTTACCTGAGTTGGACAATTACAACGAGATAGAGGATGTACAAAATTTTCAATTAGATGCCTCCAAAACCCAACAGGATACCTAGACATAAACAAACATGGCACTAACCTGCCTTACATAAACATTTCATCTCCATTTGGGCGTCCACTCCGTTTTCTTATAGACACAGGCGCATCAGCATCCTTTATAAACCCAGAATATACAGGAAAATTAAACATAGAAAACTGTGCACCAATAATCATAACCACTGTGTTAAACAAACACCAATTGAATACAAAAGTTAACATCCCTATGTTCATAGAATTCCGAGAATGTGGAATCCTGGAATTCTTTGTCTTTAAATTTCATAACTATTTCGATGGTCTCATTGGACTCGATATACTTACTAATTTAGGTGCAAAAATAGACCTCGAGAAAAAGCAATTAATTACAAACAATTGCTGCATCCCTTTGTCTTTTAAACCAAACTTAACTTCCGGTAAATTTCTTATATCACCAAAAACTAAAGCAATTATGAAAATTCCTGTAGATTTAGAAAGTGGCGATTTCCTAATCCCCGCAATATCAATTAACCCAGAAGTAACCATTTCACCTGGTATGTACAAGGCTGAAAACTGGTACAGCTTCGTTGAAATAAATAATAAGTCAAACTCGGACAAAATAATTTTAATCGAAAACCCAATTAAAGTAGATCCAATAAAAAATTCATATTATAGGGAAATTAATAATATAAGCTTCGAACATATTCCTGAATTTCAAAGCCCTCAGTTACTGGACAATCTTAGAATTGATCATTTGAATATGGAAGAACAAAAGGTTATCACAAAACTATGTAAAGAATTTGAAGATATTTTTCTTCAAGATAATCAGTCCCTTACCTTCACCAATAAAATCAAACACAACATTGTCACAAGAGACGACATTCCTATTTACACAAAATCATATAGATACCCCCATATCCACAAAGAAGAAGTAAAAAAACAAATTTCAGACATGTTAAATCAGGGTATCATACGGGAAAGCTACTCACCATGGAGTGCACCTGTTTGGATAGTCCCAAAAAAAGCAGATGCTAGTGGGAAAAAAAAGTGGCGTTTAGTTATTGATTACAGGAAACTAAACGATAAAACAATATCAGATAGATACCCAATACCAAACATAAATGAAATACTGGACAAACTTGGCAAGTGCATGTATTTTACCACATTGGACTTGGCTAGCGGATTCCATCAAATAGAAATGAATCCAAAAGATATTCCCAAGACAGCATTTACAGTAGAA